GTTGTGTCCCCCCATTGTTCCCCCTACTGTCCCCACATCACCCCATATTATCCCTGTGTCCCCACGTTGTGTCCCCACGTTTTGTCCCCTCACTGTCCCCACATCATCCCCACCCTGTGTCCCAATGCCACCCCCACATCACATCCCCATGTTGTCCCCCTACTGTCCCCACGTCTCATCCCCCCGTTGTTCCCCCTGCTGTCCCCACATCACCCCACTCTGTCCCCGTGTCCCGGCAGGTCTGACAGCGGTGACTCCCATCAACGACCTTCACGGTCCGGACGCTCCGGCTCTGGCCAAGGGGGAGCGTTTGATGCGCTGCAAAGTGAGCAGCGTGCACCGCCTGCTGGATCTGTACGGCTGGGCGCAGCTGGGCCACGCGGCCGTCACCGTGAGCACCGCGCGGGTTTTCGCTCTTTGTTCTTTTTCTCCGCTTTCGAAAGCGTCCGTTTGTCCTGCCGACGGTCGGACGACGTTCGGGGCGTTTTATGAAAGCCGTTGAGGGTTTTTCCTTTCGCGTCGCTTCACGGGGGGGAGCGCGGAGATGGTTTTTATGTCACGTGTTTGATTCTTATGGATTGCGCTTCTTTTATTGATTGCGGTTATTCATTTCTCTTGGTTTGCCCCACTCATTTCTCTTGTTTTGCCCCATTCATTTCTCTTGTTTTGCCCCACTCATTTCTCTTGGTTTGCCCCACTCATTTCTCTTGGTTTGCCCCACTCATTTCACCTTTTTCACTTTATTTGCTTCACTTATTTTGCTATTTCCCTTTCACACGCTTTTCCTTTATTTCACCCGTTTTTTTCTTGGTTTTCCTGCTGTATTTCACCCATTTGGCTGTATTTATTTCACTTATTTTCATTTATTTCACTTTTTTATTTTATTCCTATATTTCCCTCCTTCCATTTATTTCCCTTTCATATTTGCCTCATTTATAGTTTCCCCTTTCAAACTTCATTTCCCTTTATTCCCTTCATGTATTTTACTTTTATTCACTCCCTACTCTCCACGTTTTTACTTTATCCATCCTGTTAATTTTTAATCATTTGTTCATTCTACAGTTTCATATTACTGACTTTAGTTTTTGTTTCCTACTTACTGCATTAATTGATCACTTGATTTACTTTTCATTAATTATTTCATTTATTGCTGTCTATCAACTTTTTACGTGATTTATTTTTTTTACTATTTAATTAGCTAGTTATTATTCAATTCATTATTTACTTTATTTACTACTTTATTTTCTTAATTTATTACTTCTGACGTTTTTTATTGTATTTATTTTTATTTTATCTATTTACTTTGCTTTGTTTCATTTTATTTTTCCCTTTTATTATTTATTAACTCTTCAAATTTCCCTTTACTCATTTCTGCTATTTCATTTATTTTACGTTTTCCCCTTTAATTTTTGCTGACTTTTCATTTTTCCATTCTGTTTCTTCTATTTACGCCTTCCATCTCATTTTATTCTCTTCTCTTTTTATTGCTCTATTTTTAGTCTTCTACTATTTTCCATTTTGTTTCTAATTTTATTATTTATT